GTGTTTGAATGTATTTCTGCATTCAAAATGTCAAACTTTCTCTATGGTTGCAATAAAGTTCATATCTTATCTTATTTTATGTAGCCCCTGGATAAAAAAAACAAATAAGAAATGTCAAACCTTTTTAAAATTAGAAACAAAATTTATATCTTATCTCATGTACAACAAGCAGCCTCTCGGCTGAGATAGCTCCGCTGTTAGCAATGCACATTTCAATTAAAGAACAGAAGATATCATTAGAAAATGAACAAAATGTATAGTATCAAAACAATCAGACTTGTGGTTTTCAACAAGAAGTGGAAAATATCACCTTTTACCAAAAATTACAAAACTATTCATCAAAATTAGAGAATTAAAGATATCATTACAAAATGAACAAATCTGAGAGAGGTTCACATGTAGTACCTATATATGTAGTATCAAAGCAATTGAACTTGCGGTTTTTAACAAGAAGTCGAAAATATCACTTTTTACCAAAAATGACAAAAATATTCACCAAAATTAGAGAATTGAAGATATCAACATGAAATGAACAAACCTAAGAGAGGTCTACCCAAGGTACATATACACCAAGTATCAAAGCATTCAGGTTAGTAGTTTTCAAGAAGAAGTCGAAAAAGTAAAACATTGACACAGACGACGACGACGACGGACAATCACTCGTATGATAAGCTCCGCTCGACAAAGTCGACAGCGGAGCTAAAAAGCTGTCATAAAATGTTCACATTCTTTGATGTTGCGCCCACAAAATTGCATCTGAAATCTGGATTACATTCACAGTTGTTTTGCTAACATTTCCGGTGATTCAAACAAGATCACAACAGAAATACCAGAGACGATTTCAACTAAACATGAACTTTTTTTTACACCGAATATAAATGCGTCTACATGGCATGTGGCAAGTGCTTTTCAAACAATGTATATAGATCAGAACATTTCCTCAGTTTTACAAATAGGATGAGAAAATCATGGCACTCAGCTTAGATGACTTTGGTGCCATGTTGTTGAAAGATGGAAGTTGATAGAGTGACTTGATGTGTGAATTCACGTCTTTGATTGGATAACTGCTTGACTTTGTGTCAGTAGAAGCTCACCATTTTGACAAAACTCAGTTGTGTAATCTTGAATTTCTAATCATATTAATTAATTAATCAAACAACACCCATGTCTTATGTATTTTTGGGGGAAAACCTGTTTTTTGAATGTCCTTCTTGGACATAACTTTTTATTGTCAGATTTGCATACTATTACCATCTGAACGAAACTGTCATCGTGAAAGTGAAAGTGAAATTTACTGTAACACCACCGATGCTAGATCATATAATGGCAAATATTATGTCTGTCTGGATAACTATTTGAATTGACCCAAAATTATTGAAACTACTGAAAAACAATTATTTTTTCTTCCACGAATTATTACCAAGAGTTTTCTCGGTACACCATGATATTGAAAAAACTTCAAATGAACATGCATACTCACATTTTCCGCAGCAAGTAGTTCCTCCAAACTGTTATACATTTTATTCACACGCAGACCACATTTTTGCATTAATTCCAATACCTAAAATTGTAATTGTATACATGATTATAACTGCATTTGTCACCATTTTGAAAATTATTTTAAAACTCAAACGATCCATAATTGGAAAATAAATGCACAAAATGAGTGATAGAAAGTTAACATATCACTGGACACTGGATTTTCACTTCAGCTATTCGTGAAGGCTGGCTTTCAGAGGCAAAGTGCTAACATGTCAGGTCACAACATGACTATAATACTAATAACAGACTTGTACTAACGGCAGTTTGCATTTTTCTTCAAGTCAGTGGAATACAAGTTTGATTTGAATTAAAATTGGCAAACAATTTGAAAGTTACGACTGTTTGGGGATTTGACATAAGCATGATAATCTTCAGTGACAGTCATCTTTAATCTGCATTAAAAATATTATCATGGACAGCGCTTTGAGCCAGTGTGCAAATTTATAGAATAACTGAGATACAGGTATTAACAGTTGTTTTACTCAGCAAATAAGTTAAACCAGTGATACTAAACCAAATGTTAGTATTATCATCTACGGCTAATCAATTGATGGTCTTACCAAAAAAACAATTGCAGTATGAACAGTATGGACTAATCTACTGCACTGGTATCTACCAAATTATGGTTACACCCTCTCAATACAAATATAGGGCGTTTTTGGATGCTGAATCGACCATATCTTTTTGAATTTACTGTCATAATACCATTCTGATGGTAATACAATACTTTTTCATCTCACACGCACACACATACATGTACATGTCTTACCATGCTTGTAACGACATGCTTTGGATCAACTTTTAATATAGTTGCGTTATGTTTGAATTAAAACAATACTCTATATAGGGTTGCGATTTAATTTGAGTTCAATTAAACTCAATTACCAGGTACAATACAATTCCATATAGAATTGCGTTTTAATCCAAGTTTAATTAAGTAACAAGCAGCCTGTCGGCTGAGATAGCTCCAATGCACATTTCAATTAAAGAACTGAAGATATCATTAGAAAATGAACAATATGTATAGTATCAATGCACCAAAAAAGACAATTACCATGAATTTAACAAATCTGAAAGAGGTCCACATGTAGTACCTATATATGTAATATAAAAGCAATCAGACTTGCGATTTTCAAGAAGAAGTTAAAAATATAGCTGCATAGCAGCGATGACGGGTTTCGAGCCTGAATGGCTGATGGCAAATTGCACTTGCTCGATGTGATTATTTGACGAACGTTTCATGTCTAGAATGCAATGTTCTTAACAAGTCCTCTGGTATTTTGGTTTATGAACCACACTGGAATCAACAGACATAACCATTGATAGTCATCTGTCCAATGTTATTCATAATAAAGATGATTTTTTTGAGGTATTTTGCATTTTTGTGATAAATTCAAGATGGCCACCAAAACCACTTGAATCATGGGGAATTTTTTCACGTACACATAATCATATTAAACGGATGTTGTATGCCAACTTTGGTTTAAATCTGGCAAATTGTTCATGAGTTATAGCGTAATTTCACTCTTTACTAAATCCAAGATGGCTGCCAAAGGAAGCCATTTTTGAAAAGATCTGTTTCAGTAACTTGGTAGAGCTATCAACAGAGATAATATATGCTAAATTGCATGTCAAACAAGTGGGTAGTTTTTAACAAAATGATTTTTTGAGTTTTTTTACATTTTTTGGATAAATTCAAGATGGCCACCAAAACCACTTGAATCATGGGAAATATTTTCATGAACACATATTAATCATCTTATTGAAGGGATGCTGTATGCCAACTTTGGTTTCAATCTAGCAAATTGTTAGCCCATAGGGCTTGAAACCCTAAATATCACTTTTTACCAACAATTACAAAATTATTCACCAAAATTAGAGAATTAAAGATATCATTACAAAATAAACAAATCTGAGAGAGGTCCAAATGTAGTACCTATATATGTAATATCAAAGCAATCGGACTTGCGGTTTATAACAAGAAGTCGAAAACATGACTTTTTATCAAAAATGACAAAAATATTCACCAAAATTAGAGAATTGAAGATATCATCATGAAATGAACAAACCTAAGGTACACATACACCAAGTATCAAACATTCAGACATGTAGTTTTCAAGAAGTAGTCAAAAAAGTAAAACATTGACATGAACGACGACGGTGGACAATCACTCATATGATAAGCTCCGCTTGACAAAGTCGACAGCGGAGCTAAAAATGCAACAAAGTAAAATCAACATCATACATCCTGTGACTTAACACAGAAATGTTTACTAACCCTAAGCTATGCAAAATGTATTAATAAGTTGAATTAACTAATAATATAAAATTATGTTTTCCGAGGACTATGAAAAACGTCCTCGAAAAATGTGCATGTTCTCTGAAGTTGGTATATATCAGTATTTTTGTCCTTGCAACATTAGTAATGCAAGTACACACATACAAACATAAAAGGCTGCTCTGCTTTACCTATTGCGATCACATGACCTGTGATATTGCACACTTACCAGAGGAGACTCCAAGCAAACTGTATATGAATGGTTTCCTTCAGATCCAGGACCTGATCCACCAAACTCATCACCATATCCTCCAGAGTAGTGCTTAGGTCTTGAACTCTGGTTCATGAACTGTATAATGTAAAACTAGTTAGTAGCCAGTAAGACTCATACCTGCTAGATATATATATACAGTTAAACATGTGTTATTGAACACCTCTATATAAAGACCACCTGTGTTATTGAACACCTCTATATAAAGACCACCCGCGTTAGTGACCACCTCTATATAAAGACCACCAGCCTATAGTGACCACCTCTATATAAAGACCACCTGTGTTAGCAACCACCTCTATATAAAGACCACCCATGTTAGTGACCACCTCTATATAAAGACCACCCATGTGAGTGACCACCTCTATATAAAGACCACCTGCCTATAGTGACCACCTCTATATAAAAACCACCTGTGTTAGCGACTACCTATATAAAAAGTCCACCTGTGTTAGTGACCACCTGCCTATAGTGGTCACCTCTATATAAAGACCACCTGCCTGTAGTGCCACCTCTATATAAAGACTACCTGCCTAAAGTGACCATCTCTATATAATGACCACCTCTATATAATGACTACCTACCTATAGTGACCACCTATATATAAAGACCCCCTGCCTATAGTGACCACCTCTATATAAAGACCACCTGCTTAAAGTGACCACCTCCCTATCGTGATCACCTCTATATAAAGACCACCTGCTTAAAGTGACCACCTCCCTATCGTGATCACCTCTATATAAAGACCACCTGCTTAAAGTGACCACCTCCCTATCGTGACAACCTCTATATAAAGACCAACTGTGCCCTCTCTTAGGCAGTCCCAAGAGTAAAATATGACCAATCTGTGTATAGAGACAACCTGTCTTATGAATTCAGAAATATTTTTGCTGATTTGTATTTGTTTGAAGACCAAAATAAATAGCATTCCACTGATAAAACAATACTCATTTTTGATCAACTCAAATAAACAGTAGATAGAAAAATATCATTTCAAATGTATGAAAAAAATAATCCAATTTTCATATAAAGACTACCTGTCCTTTTAGGCGGCTGCTATACAATGGTTTGATTTGATCTCAACACAGACAGAGTTGTTTGGTATTCCATAATTCAAATAACAGATAATACACCCTATACATGTATATTGATGGTAACGTGCGTGAGTAAAAACAGTTAATGGAATCACAACTGAGTTCTAGTGAAGTCTGAGTACATCTTAAATTCATTTATAATTCTAGATAAACAAACAAAGGTCTTACCATTTCATCATGTGACCTGTTCTGCAAATGTATCTCACTTCGTATATGTGCAGTCAACTCCTACAAAAACAAGACATTGTGAATGATAATTTTTGGGCAGTATTAAGCATGTTAACTACTAACCATATTCAAATGGCAGCATAACCATGGTTTTGTTCAGTTTAGAAAATCAAATCCACATGCATGTTCTAGAAATGGTTAAAGGGACACATGAAAATAAAACTAACAAGGACACCAGTCAACCATTTTGAATAGTTGATGACCTTCACATTTTGTTTTATTGATTTTTTTAGGAGTACCATTCTGTCAAAGATCAACTTAACGAAAAACTAATCAACATGCATATGTTTTTTTTTATGGCAAGTTTCATGAAATTAGCGCAAGAAAAATTGGCACATGCATGCACTATGTCTGACTGGGACTTGAATTTGGGGATCAATGCTGGATTGGATGTATTATGATAATTATTTTAGCTAGAAAATATATTTAAATCAACTGCCTCTTTGGAAAAAAAGAAAACAAGTAGAAAAGTTCCCCTATGGATAAGAGTGGCCGTGCTTGACTGACAGTAACTAAAATGGTGAAGCAATTAAATCAATCTTTAATAGAAAATTCACTGTTTACAATACTTACATCCCAGTCATCGCAGTATTCAGTGCAGACTTCACAGTACCATGTATTGTCACCACATTTCTTTATTATTGGATTCTCTTCATCCTGAATATAGGAGACATGAATCAGTAATGTAAGATCAGAGCTC